TATTTGACTTTTATAAAATCTTTTGGCAAAGCTGAATGTACTTTTAAAATTTATCATGTGTAAATTTTTAATTCTATAAAGTAGAGCATGTATTTATGTATTTACTGACTCTAAAATTCTGGTATTAATTTTTATTATTTAGATAGATTTTCAGATAAATTTAGCTAGAACTATGTAACAATTTTTGCATTCGGATTAAATTAATTTGTCCATATCTTTATGCAGACATATTCTCAGTCGCAGTTAGATGTTTGTCTTGTTTGTTCTCAATAATAACAAACTTACGATTACATAAAAAAAAAAAACGAATTACCAATATTAAAAAAGGAAAAAAGAAAAAAAAATAAATTAATTTAAAAAAAAACAATTTCTTTTTAAATATCAATATAAAATTCGAATATATTCGATGATTTTTTTGTGTTGAACATGTTGTTAAACATGGTCAAATGTCATAGGTTACCAAAAAAGAAACCTAAGGCGGTTGGATGGGTCGGTCATTACCGACCCCACTTGCGAAAGTCCCCTACTTAAAAAAGAAAAAACTTGGCGTTGAGTACAAAAAATTTTTTAAATTGCTTCGTCCCAACGAGGGCATAGCAATTAAAAAAAGTGGAGGTTAACCATAACTGTCAAGTCTCCCCCATTTGGCCGACAATTTATCATCCTCCCGCATTTACAAAAAAATTTGAAAAACCCCCTTTTTATTATTAGAAAGTTTTAGCTAACTAGATTTCTACTTTTTTTTTTTTTTTAATGGTGATTTGTGCTTTTACTTGTCTAATTAGTATTCTAGTTGTATTCTATCTGCCATGGAGAATATGTCAATTAAAACAAAAATAGGGTTTTTTTTTTTAATATCTTCGCTTCCAATACGACTGAAAGCAATCAGTATTAGAGTTGAAAGTTACTGAAAATGAAATGATGAATTTTATAGAGCAAAATAACGATTGACAGACAACTTAAAAGATTGCAAATTTTATGAATCAGGAAAGCAAGATGAAGAAAACTAATTCCAAAGAACTGATGTTCGAGGGAAAAAACTAGACGAATAAGAGTTTTTGGAGCACTTTGGAACAGTCACAGGAAAAAAATGAGACTTAATTTAATGGCGAGTAACACGAGAATGAATTTTAGTAGGTGACACAAGAGATGCTAGCTCTTTAGAGCAGTGCCTATTATAGTATGTGTAGAAAAGAGAAAGAAAAGAAACGTTACGACGATGTGATAATGGTTGGAGGTTGACTGCAGGTCTTGGAGCAGGTCCAAATATGTTTACAATACGTTTTTGCACCTTGTCTAAAATAGAAAGAGCATCATTGGAAGATCCATTTGCATAAAGCAACATTCCATACAAGGACGAATTTGAGTATTATAGAGATAAAGAATAGAATCAAGAGTATGAAAGTGTCGAGCATGATAAAGTCATGCAACCTTAGCAAATGCTAAATTTACAATGGATTTGATAAATGGTTTCCAAGAAAGATCCGAATAAATTGTTAATCATAGAAGATGAAGGGTAGATGACTCATCGAGTACATTACCGTTCATAAATATAGTAAGATCTAAATTATTACGAGAACGATAACGGCTGGAAAAAATTGGGTTTTATCTTGAATTAAAGTTCACCAGCCACTGTGAAGCATAAATGTGATCTTTTTCAAGCTCAAGTGCCCCCTCTAAGCAATCAAAGAGTGTTGGCTTCTTATCAAGACAAGAATAAATGGTTCTATCATCAGCGAGCAATGCCACCTTAGATGTGAGAATATCTGGAAGATAGTTAATGCAAATTAAAAAGAGTGTAAGACTAAGCTTAGAACCTTAAGAAACCCCTGAAGTTACAGGATATGAAGAAGAGTGATGTCTATCGAGAACAACTTTTATACTACGATTGAAAAAAAAAGGATTTAATAATCTTAAAGATGTTACCAGATACACTCTAAGAAAAAAGCTTGTGGAGAAGACCAGCATGCCAAACTTTATCAAAAGCTTTAGAAATATCAAGAGCGATAACCTTAACCTTTCCATATCTATTTAATGCATGATAAAACCTATCGGTTATTATTGTTAGCAAATTTTGCAGTAGAACGAGAAGATCGAAATCCATATTGATGATCAAAAAGTAAGTTATTAGATTCAAGATGAGAGATTAAGTGTTTGTTATTTAAAGATTCAAAAACCTTGCTTATGATAGGAAGAAGATTAATACGACGGTAGTTAGACGAATCAGATCGCTCTCCAGAATATTTAAAAAAATGGGGATAACAGATGCTGCTTTCCAGCAGGCTGGAAAACGAGACTCTGATAAGCACTTGTTAAATAGTTTTGAAAGTATAGAAGACAGTTCCGGGTACAACAGGTATGTTTTCTGGACCACAAGCTGTAGAAAAGTCTAAGCAGGAAATCACTTTAGAAGCTGAAGTGGTACGAATGTTAAGCAATGGATCAGCCTGTTTGTCGGCTATATCAGGTAGAACGCAACTAGTGGAGTCAAGAGATATCATTGATGAGAAGTTCTGAGCAAACATTTTAGCTTTGTCTTCACGTGAGGCGACAAATTCTGAACCATACAAGAAAGGTGGAATAACAGTTTTGCCCTTATTATTGATATGTTTAAGATTCTCCAAATGTCATGAGAGCCTAATTTATATATATATATATATATATATATATATATATATATATATATATATATATATATATATATATATATATATATATATATATATATATATATATATATATATATATATATATATATATATATATATATATATATATATATATATATATATATATATTATTATTATTATTATTATTATTATTATTATTATTATTATTATTATTATTATTATTATTATTATTATTATTATTATTATTTCAATTTATTTGCATTTAAATAAAAATACAAAAAGGTGATACAGGTAATTAGAGAATTACTCTTTTGTAACACCAAGTTTAAAACAGTAAATAGTGTCTCTGAATATTTTATGTTTTTAAATTCGATTTAATTCGAGACAATGAAGAGGAATACACCAAATTTCCTGCTTAGACTTTTCTACAGCTTGTGGTCCAGAAAACATACCTGTTGTACCCGGAGCTGTCTTCTATACTTTCAAAACTGTTTAACAATATATATATATATATATATATATATATATATATATATATATATATATATATATATATATATATATATATATATATACCATGAAAGTAATTTTTTTTAATGACTCCCTAAAATCCAAACCCAGTCTAGCTGGCTGTGGGGTCTTAGCCTAGGCTTCAGCCTAGTTGGCCTATAGGTAAATATGAGTATATGTTAAAATATACCATTGGACATCCCTAATTTTAATACACAATCTTTTTGTTTTTTAATTTTTTTACATATCTTTTTAATACTTTTTTAATTTACATATAAAGAGAGACAATGTTTCAAATATAAAAAATTAAATCGGACTGCCCATTCAACATCTCTCTGCTCAATTTGAGTTTACTTAAAAGTTTCTAAGACCAAAAGTTGAAATTCAGCCATAGGTTAATTCAAAATATCGCTCAATTCAGATTTTTATTCCGAAATTTTTAATCTATTTTTTGTAGTAATAGATGTGCATTTTTAAATAATTTTTTTACCAATTTTCAATACAATAATTATGCTTTTGTAGTACTAAAAAAAACATTGGATAAATCTTTTAATTTACGTGGATAGATAACTTCTAATGGTTTTACTTTTAAAGGATGTTTGTCAGTACTTGCACTTTCAGTGCAAAAAAAATGCTCCTTTTTCACCAAAACATCACGAAATTAATAACGTGTTCTAGGGAAGAAATAATATAATAGAATAAATTAAAAGTCTAAAAATTTTTCTATTATTTCCGATGAAACATCAAACAGTTCAAATATCTTTGGTTATTAGATTTGTTAATTCCAATTTAGACATGAAGGAAAAATATTTTTTTTTTAGACATGAAGGAAGAATATTTCAAGTTTTTACATCGCTCAAATGCTCTTACTGGTGGAGTTTCAGGGCCGACGACTTACTGGTGAGGGTTTCAGGGCCGACGACACCGATTTCGAAGTGGAGGGGCACAATTGTCATTTTCTGAAAAAGTCAAAATTTTTTTGAGAAAAAAAAAGGCCCTTAAAAAAAAATTGGGGGGGGAGGTAGGCACGTGCTCTCCCTGGTGTCGTCGACCCTGTGTTTATTTAGTGTTTTACTAAAATCTATTTCAGTCATTTCTTTGGATATTATGAATTATAATATGAAACAAGGTTCGGTGATACAACTTTAAAGTGTTATATAGCACCTGTCTTCTTTCTAATTTTTAGTTTCTTCAAAAATGATTACAAATGAGTTCAGTGTTTTTGTTATATTATTTGGAAAAACCAAAAAGAAATGATTCAATAAAAAATTATTACAAAAAAAAATTATATAACTTTATGCAACTTCCCTTCATTTTCTTCTTCTTTTTCTGCTCATTCTTAATGTTTTTTGTTTTTTTTTGCCACAAATAGTTTTTTATCGCAACTTGTTTTTATCAGCATTTCATTTGGCTCATATTTAGTTCAAGTTTTTACAACCTTTAAGAGTATATGCTTTTCAAATCATCGTCAGGAACTCATACACTAAAATTGAGGCTTTTCTATTAATATCAAAATTAGCCACTGCATCATACACTCCAAATTCTAATTGATTGAATCCAAAAACTTTGTTTAAGATAAACGCTCGTAGAGTTTTTTTAATTTTTTGTTGTGATTTTGGTATAACAGAGTTACAAAATCCTTTACCAATTGCTTTATTAGACTTATTTATTATTGTCTAACCAAAGACCTTATTATGTGAGTATGACCTGTGGGAAGCACACTGGTTAAATATCAAAAACGAGCTTCTGTTTAATATTACTGGAACATTACAAGCAACAAGTTTTCCTGGGTTTGAAAAAATCAAAATTTAAATAAAATTACTTCTGTATTACCCTTAACTTTATACAAATGACAGCAAACCTTTTCTTCACTTAGGCGCCTTAAAGATTATAAGAGAATGGTAAGAACACATTGCAAAGCAAAATGGTAAAAGTCTAAATGGTTAAGCTAGCTTTAATAAATATTTACACAGAATTTCCTACAGATAGTAAACAAGTTTTTAACAAGTTTGCTATAAACACTTTTGGATTGTGTTTTAAATAAAATTCAAGTATAATAAAAATATAATTTATAAAATATCTTTGCTACCCCCTTGTTAAACAGCTATTTTCATTGTTAAACATTTTTATAAAAACATTATTTG